TTCTTTCTTTCTTTCTTTCTTTCTTTCTTTCTTTCTGCCCCTTCCTTCCATCCCCGTTTCTTCCTTTCACTTCCTTTCTCTCTCCCTTTTTTCTTTCCCTTTTCTTTCTTTTCTTTCTTGTATCTCCCTTCTCTCTTTCCCTCTCTCTCTTTCTGTATCCTCCTCTCTTTCTCTCTCTCCCCTCCCTCTCTCCCTCTTTCTCTGTCTTTCTTTCTGTCCCTTCCTCCTTCCCTCTCTCCTTTTAAAGCTACGAAGCCCACCTGAAACAAACACATACACACACACCCAGGGGTGGGATTCTCACAGTTTGGCCCTGTTCTATTGTCCCCTGCCTCTCAGAGAATAAGCTGCAGGCAGGGACTGTGATTTTTAATCTTTGTGCAGGGTCTTCAAAAAAAATACATGCAATCAACAGAAACAAATGAGGCAGCTTAGAAACAAGAGGATGCTCAGAGCAACCCCAGTTTTACAATATCATAGAATAAGAACAGCCCAGAAGAAAGACAATAGCAGGAAGGAAGGAAGGAAGGAAGGAAGGAAGGAAGGAAGGAAGGAAGGAAGGAAGGAAGGAAGGAAGGAAGGAAGGAAGGAAGGAAGGAAGGAAGGAAGGAAGAAACCACCCTACTGAGGGCTGCAGAATCATGCAGCCTTTAACATTTCAGATTGGTGACCCTTCCTAGACCCAACTGGTGCTTCTTATTGTATCTACAGTACATGAGTTTCAGTCCCAAAGATGCTCCTTCTCCCCAGGAGCCCAACCTTCAATTCTGGATGAATATTTTTGCACCTTTTCACTCTTTGTTCCTCAACATCCTTCTTACATTGGATCACAAGCTATTGGACCAGATCAGGGGGGAGGGGGGGTGATAGCCACCCAGTTGTGGGATTCTCTCTTTCCCTCGCTTTCTCTCTCTCTCCTCCCTCTCTCTCTCTCTTTCTCTGTCTCCCCCTCTTTCTCTCTCTCTCTTTCTATCTCCTCTCCCTCTCTTTCCCCCTCTCTCTTTCTCTCTTTCTCTCCCCTTCCTTTCTCCCTCTCTTTCTTTCTTTTTCTTTCTGTCCCTTCCTTCCATCCTCTCTTTCTTCCTTTCACTTCCTTCCTTTCTTCCTTTTTCTTTCTTGCTCTTTCTTTCTTTCTTTCTCTCCCTTCCTCTTTCTTGCCCTTCCTTCCTTCCTTCCTTCCTTCCCTCCCTCCCTCCCTCCCTCCCTCCCTCTCTCTCTCTCTCTCTCTCTCACACACACACACATGAGTGGTGCCATTTTAAAGCCTGCTGCTTTAAGAGAGGAGGGACCTTGCAATGGGGCTTTGAGCACCCCCCACCCCAGCCGTGGCT